CCTCTACTATAAAAAGGACAAAATAAAATGAAATGAAAAATCATACACACAAAGTTCATTATATATCATATGTACTTAGCTTATTTACACCTGAGCTACACCCACAACAAGCTAACAAAAATCAGCTGATTGTGCAGAGTCTATGAATACATTTGAACAGATATACATTGTATGTACATGTAGGATGTCAAGAAAGTTTCGACTTATAACCAGGAAAAAAGCCTGTTGTTTAAGAGTCTCCATACCACTATCAATTTATCTAAATGAAAAAACATCTAAAATTCTCGACATTCAAGAAAAAGTCACAGCAACTGGGCTACCAACAGGATGGATACAACAACCAACCAATGACGACACATTACGGAATTACGGGAATGAAGAGTTGAATAGAACAGACCATGAAATGTATTTTCACTTCCTAAAAGAAAGAAAAAGAGCAAAGACAATGACCAGATTAGAAGTATGTATGTCTATACATGCATTTATTAAATTTAAAATGCTGCGTGTAGGTACTGACGATGAATTTTAGCTACTCCTCCTACCACTATGAGTGTTAATAATTTTGATTTGTCAGACATCACTATTACAGCCACAGGTAATCATGATCAAACAATAGCTAGTGTTTAATTAATAACAATAATTATTATAGAACCTTGTGACATCATTCTGGAGGGAGTTAAGGAAATTAAAGCACACTCAATTTTAGTGCTTATCAGGCAGCTAGCCATTGTGCATTCCTTCTTTTCAACAAAGCACATTCTTTTGTATAAAATTTCAGTGTCCACATGGCTTGTATTATAAGTGAAACACTGCAATGGAAGATTTTATGCAATGTTTTTTTGAATAAGTGACACATTTTTAGTAGACAGAAATACATATCTACTTACAAAGTAAATACCAGTTAAAAAATTAAAATACAAGTAGATACAGAGTAGATAGAATTTGAGTAGATGTGCTATGTCTGATCTCTCATCAATCAGTCTGTTGTAGATAAATCTAAAGCTCGTATTTACAGTCATATTAGATCAGTTACTATAACCAGTCCCTCATTCCCCCTCTAGTCTCTCATGGTTCTAAAACTGCTTCCACTCCTAAAGAACAGGCTGACTACTTTTCTCTGTTTTATCTCCCTGTCCCTCCTTTCCCTCTTTATCCTCTCTCTCTCTCTCTCTCACTTCTCTCCCACTGTAGGTACTCTGGAAAGAGTTGAGATATTGTTAGCTGATGTTTTTAAGGCTCTATGTGAACTGGATCCATCTAAAGCAATGGATGCAGATGGTATTGGTCCCAAAATTAAGTCCTGTGCAACTGCACTGTGTGCATGAGCCACTCCATCATCTATTCTGTGTCTCTCTCATCACATTATGTATCCCATCTGAGTGGAAGCTACACTGTATTCATCCCATTCACAAGTCGGGTGTTTCAATTTCAAAGGTCTTAGAGGGGCTAATTTAGAGGCTAATTAGAGGGGCTTGTCCCTTATGGACAAGGTACGTTGTGTACATGTACATGCATGAATAGTATTACGCTATGTTATTTTGTTATTATTATTATATACATGAACATCAGTTAATGTGATATCTGGATTTCTTACAAAGCATGCTAAGTGAGCTAAAAGCATGCTTCATGAGCTGACAAGCCTTATGAAGCAACTTCAAAAATTCATAATAAGCTCAAGCTTTAACATAAGAACATGTACATGTATATGTATCAGAATAAATTATAAAAATGGAGAATTCTCTCCTAGCCAAAGTCACTGTACTATAGTACAGGGTAGGGTCTTTGAACCAATTTTGGAGTTACTTTAGAAATTCATTAAAAAAATACAAATTTGATTGGAGTCAGCTCAAACTTTTTATATAACATTAAAACACATATATTTATTTTTAAAAATTAATTATAAAAATGGAGAATTTATTTATTTATTTATTTATTTATTGCTATAGGTGCTGGTACTGTTTGGTTGAATGATGTCATTTGTACTGGGACTGAGAATACATTGTTTGAGTGCTCCTATTCAGGATTCGGCATTCATACCGTATAACGCTTTATTATGGCAATTTTGCTGTAAAATTGTAATTGGCGGTTTTTAATTTGGCGATTTTTATGTACACGTGCATACTTGTTGAATTATTCTAAATTCTAATGCGTATTGACAGTGATTTGGAGACCATTCAATGTAGCTAAACATGAGAGACTTAAGGACACTTACATTGTATGCTAAATGGGAGATTTCAGGAGACCTATTTATACCAAGTAAGGGAGGCCTATACCAAATATGGGAGACCAAAAGTCTCCTAAACTCCCTCTAGATCCAACAGCTTGCATCAATGTACATGTACATGTACTTATGCTTTCTGTCACAAATTTTGAATTTTTGACATTCAAAGAATTCTTGTTTGTACAGGATCAGCAGTTTGCTATGGTTTCTCTGGTACTATTGCTAATTCAGCCAATGTATACATCAGTCAAGGATTCTCTAAAGTCGCTGGTAGGTACAGTGAAGGGACTATTGTTAGCTACTCGTGCAATGACCACTTTGCTCCTCTTGATGGTCACACTACAGTACAATGTACCACCAGTGGCTCTTGGTCTCCTAATGTACCTCAATGTGCTGGTAAGTCAATTATAGATATACTGTATTGCTTACAAGCATATGTACATGTACTTATATGTGTAACTCATAATAGTATCTTGTATTTGTTGATAAATGTAGATGCATCTGAATCTATATCTATGTACATGTATTACGCATGTGTTTAATATACTTTTATTATAGTAAGTTGTCCAGCCCTTAACAAGCCTTCCAATGGAGCTCTATCAACCACAGCAACTAGCCCTGGAGTCATAGTCACACTGTATTGTAATGATGGATACATGTTGCATGGTACTCCTAACATTACTTGTCTTGTCAACGGATACTGGAGCAACACTCTTGCTACCTGTAATCAACGTAAGTCAGAGAATGTAGATGTAGCCATAGATTATATATGGTAATGTAATGTATGCTATAACTATGACTAAGTAGCCATATTATCCATGAGTACAGTGGTTGTATATATGAATACCAAGTGTACTAATTTTATTATTATTGTTGTTGTTATTATTATTATTGTTGTTGTTGTTGTTGTTGTAGTTATTTGTCCTAATCTTGTTCTTGTCCCTCATCTTGTTATTGAGAACACTCCTGCTTGCACACCTGGTAGTGTCATCACATTCAGTTGTGAGGCTGGCTTTGTTGTTAGTGGAAATAGAACTATCTTGTGCGATAAAACTGGTGAGGATTGAAAAAGGAGTGAAAGAGAAAGGGGGCCCGGGAAAGAAGAAAAGATAGAGAGAGAGACAAGGGAGAAAGAATACTTTTAAGATAATGATTCCATAGGCCACTGGAACAGCACACTGCCTTCCTGTATATCATCAAATTCAACAAACACAAATTCAACAAACACAAATTCAACAAACACAAATTCAACAAACACAGCTCATAGCACCAGCAACAGTGAGTGAAATATAATATCTATGCATTGTAGATGTAGATGTGTATGGCGTGTGTGTGTGTGTGTGTGTGTGTATGTGTGTGTGTGTGTGTGTGTGTGTGTGTGTGTGTGTGTGTGTGTGTGTGTGTGTGCGTGTACATGTACATGTACATGTATTATATTTTAATATTTTTATCAGGTAAGAGTTTGGCTCTTATTGGAGGTGTCTTTGCTTTTGTGCTGGTTGTATTAGCTGTTGCCATGGTCGTTATTATCATATTATTTGTTGTGTGGTAAGAACAGTACACATACGTGTACATGTACATACTATAGTTCATACTTTAAAGTACATACGTGTACATGTACGTGTACATTGTTAGATCTATATTTAAATTTTGGGAGACCAATGTGACTAAAAATGGGAGACTCAAGGAGATTTAAGCAAAATATGAGAGACCAAAGGAGACTTACATATACAAATGTAGACTAAATATGACAGATTCTTCAAAAGTCTCATAAATTCCCTCTAGATCTAACAGTGTATGTGTACATAGCTCTATGTATTTATAATAGGGTACGAAGGCAAAAGCGTATTAGCTTGAGCATTAGATCAGATCAAGATGAGCAGATACACTTGATAAACCCGAATGAAGATGATGAGGATGAAGATGAAACTAGTGCTGATGAAGGACAACTGAGCATTGCACGTGGAAGTAAGATAATAATAATAATAATAATAATAATAATACATATTATAATGAATGTGTGATTAATGTGTATTGTATTTAATTTCTTTTGTTTTTAGCTGTTCGGTTCCAGCCGCTTTATTCTGAAGACAAAGAGGAGGAGGATGATGAAGATCCGATTAATTTCGATCAAGATGACAAATAACTTTTTTTTTTGAAACTCAACAAACACACACACATTTGCTATTATTGTACTGCAATGATTTTCTACTGCTTCTTATTGTGATGGCACTCCCTCTCTACAGCCATTTTGATTTATAGCCTACCTGGTGTAACCTTTGTTTGATGTTTTATTCTTTTAATTAATGACAATTAGTGAGGCAAGGTGTGCTTGGAGTTTTTGGTGTACGTGCATTAATTTTTAAAAGATTAACCATTACAATGGTGATAAGAAACGACAAAAAATGTGAATAATTTTATTTCCCAATGACATGAACATCAACATCAGTGTTTCATATGTCAAATGAGGGCGGTATAATGAATTTATTTAATGGTTTGAAGAATGGTAAATTCACAACCTTTGCATATGATGTATTGAAAGTGAAAAAGCAGGGATGTCAACATGCATGTACCACTTGTTTATCTCCAACTTAATGTTCGTTAACTATTATAACAATAACAAGAGTATAATAAAGGTATAAATAATAAGTATAAACAAGAATAGATGGTATAAACAATAGAAAAAGACAGTTAAATACAATGTGCTGGAGTATTATAAGTAAGATTAAACCAGTTCATCTTTACTAGCTACATGTACCTCTTCAGGAGGGTTGTCATCTATTTTTGATATTATAATGAGGAGCATGAGTAGTATTGCAATATACCTGAATCGGGGTTGTTGATGTTTGTATCTGTACCATAGCCTGTTGTTGTACTTGGAGGAAGTGGTTCAATACTGGATCCCCCTGAAAATTGAAAAATTAATAATAAAAATTGAAAAAATAATAATTATTGATAGCACATTCAGTATTATACCTATTCCAATAACTAAGGATTCTGCTGGGTCTTCATAATTCACTAGTAATAAAATGTACATAATCAACTTTTACAAAAAAAGATGCAACTTACAAAATCGTTTGACCTTATCAAACATTTCCTTTTCTTCTCTCTCCAATTGTGGTTGAGAATGACTACGAACCAAATCCCTGTATATTTCTTCAGCTATTTTTACTAGCAAACTCTTCTTTTTTAGCATAAAGGTTTTTTTCTGGTATCGCAAAAAAACTGCCCACAACAGAGATTTATTCATAGCTATTTCTGTGAGAGGAAAATCACCATGAAACCAAGAATCCTCTCCAAAATATACATGTAAATTGATTAAATGGAGCACCCAAATGAAACTGGTGTTAAACGATTTAGTTAGTTGAAATTCATCTGGTATTACTGGTACTTTATCATTGATAATAACTTCACCATCATCATCTACTTCGTTGTCGTCATCTACTTCACCGTCATCATCATGATGATTTGTATGCATTCCAATAAGCACGGGTTGATTGCTTTTATGAGTTGCATACATCGGAGCACCCGATGAACCACCGCCACAGACATCAGAATCGTCATCCTTTACAACTTTAAAATAAGGAATAAGAAAACTCCAATCTCTCAATACTCTTATTTTTGGTGAACCAGTGGGAAGTGGAGGAAAGACAAAATAGTGCTCCTTCTTGACTACTTTACTGACTTGACTCTGATCTTCCCTATTTTTCAATCTCATATAGAAACAGCTTGCATTGCCATCTTGAAAGAAACCACTCAAACCATTAGCTTGTTCCATAAGTTCTAGAGCTTTTATACTAAGTTTTACATCAACAAATTCCGCGGGAGGTAGATCTATATTTTTCAGTTCTAGTAGCATGAAGTCCAGATCAAATGGACAGTGTTTCTTGAAGTGTTCAGATTGTCTAAGAATCCCCTCCTCTCCACAACAGCTAATACCTTTCGTAACGATGCCTTCATCTAGAATGATATTGCTTTCTTCTATGTCAACTTTCCATCCAAAAGATTTCCTTCTTGACGGAATTACATGGTGGCAGGTCAACAGATAAAGCTGCCCCCGATGTTGGATGATAATGCCTTGAGCTCTACCAGCGCCATCCTTAAAAAGAAAGCTACAGCTCCTTTTCATTCGGGTTTCCATTTCACACAAATTAACACCAAAAAAAGGGCAAAAATAATAAATTAGTAGCGATATAGATATACAAACACATCCTGTTCACGTGATCTACTAAAACTAGCGATGAAGAATTTTTAGCAAAACAGTGAGTGACTGCATAGCAGTGATGTGGATGTGTTAACAAAAATGTATTATCTAAGTATAATTATAACAATTAATTTTATAATGCTATTGGAATCATAATAATTATGTTTCAGCTGTTCAACATTTCAAAATCCATCAGTTATATATAGCTATTCCAGCTCTTCACTAACTTGCAAAGTAAACTTTCTTTCCTTCTTGAGTACAATGAGTGATATAGTCTTCCTTAGTCTAATACCACTCACAGTACAAGTATAGGGACCACTGTTGGTCACTTTAACTGATGTTATAGTGAGGTTACTCTGTATAGCTGGACTAGCAGAAGAACTACTATTTTGAGACAATAGATTGGACCAAGTGTATTGACCATTAGCAATAATACCATCAGCCTTCACGTTATACATGTACATCCAAGTAATTTCATAATTAACCGGTAGATATCCAATAAAAATGCATGACAGTGTGGCTCTATTGCCTTCTTGTACAATCACTGTACTAGCTACTGTTAATGCTTTACCTAGATAGTGGAGAAATACATGAGATGCATATTGATAGGCTGCACAGTAACACTATAACCTACTGAGTGTTAAAGTGATGTTATTTGTTGCTGTCATGATCAGTTTTACATCATAATAATCGTCCAATACCAGGTATAGATAAGAGGCGGAACAGGTATAATTCCCAGCATCAGAAGGACTGATATTTGATAGCATCAATATACTGGTCCTAGTGGTATCTGCTACTTTCATTACTCCATTATTAACTCCAGGGCCAGTCCAAGTCCAATAGAAGGATCCATTATTAACAACTGTACAGGATAAGTTAAGAGATGACTGTATATAGGCTGTTTCAGGCTGCAGTATTTGACTAGGAGATTTGAATTTGATAGGAATGGCAGGATAAAGAATGAGTTCTATAAATAATAAAGAATCATCATTGGCACATCACTAATGTAGTTACCTGTATCTGCAAAGAATCTAATCTCACTGATGAAAGTTTGAGTTGCAAGACTTGGTTGAATTTTACTAACATCATCCGGACGAAAATAAAAACGCAGAAAAATATGAGATCTATATAAAACGAGCATGTTCAGTGAAATCTTGACGACACCGTTATCAGACTGGGATGCTTGAGAATTACTGGCAGTTATGAGAGGGCTTTTAGGAAGACGGCCAGGATCGATTCGCACAGTAGGCAGTCCGTATCCTAGGGATGGATTGTGATAGTAGTATATGTCGATGTGAGTGAAGTAGAAATTTAGAGGTAGGTCTTCGAACAAAATCAATATCCGAAAATTTTCATTCCATCCTATAAAATTATCAGGATTAAAGTCTGATCCTTCATTAGTTACATCATCAGACAGTCTGGAATTGTTCGGACATCTATAGTATCTGGGGAAATAATGAAAAGAACAGTCATTTGCAAAGACACCACCAGTGTATGTGGCAGGCTGAAGAAATAATATGTAGTCTTCTGGTGTTACTAATAAAAACAAACACAAAGTATCAATATAATAATAATTATATATACTTTCAATTTGCAGTGAAGATTGTACAAAGGATGACAGTACTAACATTGCTACCTATAAAATAGAATCAGCTTAAGATATATAGTGTGTATATACATGCAAACAAAAATTATGTGACAGCTATAGGTCATATAAATAAAATTGTTTACTCCAATCAAATTATTATAACATCTCCATTAAGTATCAAGAAAAATGTTTTGTATAAAAGAGCTTTCTTAATAAAAAATGTTAAGGATCGAGTAATAGCATAGGTAGGTCATGAACATAGGGTAGGCACTATAATTATAATACTGCAGGTGTCACTTTAAAAGACAGTGCTAAGTTTGCTAACGAGTAAAAATTCAGCAATGATCTGCACATGCTTTATAAAATACATAATTAAGCAGCTCATGTGTGCTAAAATGAACTACTTTTTGACGTCACTAGCTTCAGTAGTTAATTCTAAACTGCTGCATAGCCTATGCTGGAAGCCTATGATAACTTTTAGTCTTTTCACTCATTTGTGTATTTACTTGTTTTTCTTCAGTAAAAATGGCAGTCTATTCATGCATGCAGTAGTCTCGCCCAGCCCCTTTGCTCTAGTATACTTCACCTGATCCCAAAAATAATTTTAAAAATGTCAGTAGAGGGGCTGCAGGTTTATTGTCATTAGATCATAACTATCTACGTAGTGTAATGAACTCACCAGGTACATCATGATTGAGGGAGTACAGGAGTAGCAGGAAGAATGGAATAAGTATGGCTTTTGCAGCAGAGAGAAGAGAGAAGAGAAATCTGTACTGAACTGCACTTTAGAATTTGTGAAAATGTGCGGTTTATTAAAATGGGCGTGGTTAATAAATTAATAAAGCACTTGTAGACTCATTGACTCAATGGCTGGTGTTGGTACAAGAGTTGTTCGTGGTCCTGATTGGAAATGGGGCAAGCAAGACGGAGGAGAGGGAAGAGTAGGCACACTGAGGAGCTACGAGACACACGAGGAGGTCATGGTAATATGGGACGCGGGAACTGCCGCTAACTACAGGTGTGCGTCTCATTTCGACCTCAGAATTTTAGACAATTCGATCACAGGTAAGTAAAAGTAACACTATATGTATAAAGTAAATATATAGATATGGGATTTCTTTTAAATTAAAATATAAAAAATTGTAAAGCCTATTGAAGCTTTTTGGTGTGAAGCCAGGTCTGTGGGTTGGTGGTGTCCCATGTGTCTCATGTTTAGTGTCTTTATTAGCTTTGGAAGTGGTTTTGGTCTATGATTAATTTCCCTCTCCATTACACTCAGCAATCACTTGTAATAGTAATGTATCCACTGTGTTCCATATATATTTACCTTATAATAATGTCTAATGCTATTATTATTATTATTATTATTATTATTATTATTATTATTATATAATCATTATTATTTTATTGCATTTAGCTAATCCTCAATGCAATACTCAAGTTCTAGTTACATTCCTTCTCTTATACATTGTATATGTACCTCTTTTTCTCTGCTCTCTGTCCCCAGGGGTCCATCATGAAACTTACTCTTGTAATGGCTGCCAGTCTACTTCCATATATGGCATAAGATGGGAGTGCATGGAGTGCCCGACAATCAATCTCTGTTCCTTGTGTTACCATGGCGACAAACACTCGCTGAGGCACCAGTTTTATCGAATTTCTACTCCGTCATCTAAAAAGTGAGAGACGGTCTAACGATTGTTAATTGAATATTTTATGTGTGAAAGAATGTGTTATTTAAATGCATAATGTATACATGCACTGTACCAGCTGGACCATGTGATCATGAAGGAATGTGAACGTGATAATATGCTACATGTACATGTACTTGTTACATATTTTACCTGCTGCCATTTTGATTCAATCAAACCAGAATGTGACCAGTATCCTCCTTAATAATCTACATGTAATTTAACCCTTCCTCTCCCCCCTCTCTCCCCTTCTCTCCTTTTAATTTCTCCCTCTCCCCTCTCTCCTTCAAGGGTTAGTGTCCCTGTCCGTAAGAAGAGCAAGAAGATATCATCAAGAGGAATCTTCCCTGGGGCCAGGGTGGTGAGAGGGCTGGACTGGAATTGGGACGATCAAGATGGTAATAATCATATTTCGAGTTATTTTGCTCATTACCTCAGTTCCAATTAATACCAAATTTGCATGAATATGCATCCCTCTATTAAATTAATATGGAATGTTTTGTTTTGTTTTTTTTGTATGCGTTTGGTTGTTTGTTTATGTGTTCTTGTACATGTACATGTATGTATACAATTTTATTATTGTGTGTGTACATGATAATTTGTACTTAATTTTCTGCTAAATATTTCTGTTGCTTCATGTACAGTACATGTACATGTACATGTATACATTTGGCGTATTATTTCTATCTTATTTCAGGTGGAGAAGGTCACAAAGGGAAAGTCACTAAAATTGAGAGTTGGAATGGTGCGTCCCCCCGGAGTGCCGCCTCTGTTGTCTGGGACCACGGAGTTGAGAACCTTTACCGTATTGGATTCGAGGGGATGGTGAGTGGGTGGAGCATGTTGTCATGACGACACTCGTCTTGTTAGGTTGATGTGAAGGTAGTGACTGAGGCAAAGGGTTATACTTATTATCGTGATCACTTACCTCTAGTTGGAGAAGAAATTCAAGTTAGATAATATCTTATGTATCTTTACATGTATCTTCACTAATTGCTATAATTATGCTACATGATTATACTCATTTACAATATAAATAATCATACCTGTGTACTCTCTCTCTTTCCTTCTCTCCTCTCTCTGAAGGTTCCTGAAGGTTATTATGAAGTTGGTGATAATGTCTGTGTTGATTCTGATCCTGACACTGTACGATACTTACAGCACGGGCATGGAGGATGGGCGGAGTCCATGAGAGAGGTACATGTAATAATAATCCGTACATGTACATGTACGTGTGTGTCATAATAGCAATACATGTACATGTATGTGTGAATGGAAGAGACATATTGATAATAATGAAATATCTAATCCTCTTCCTCTCTTATGCCTAATTCCTACTTCTTTCCTACAGTATATGCACACACATACATGTACATGTACACACGTACCAACAAGAGTAGATAATAAT